TATATATAATATATATATAGAAATAAGTGTGCATATATATATATATAAAGAAATAAATGTATATATATATATATATATATATATATATATATATATATATATAGAAATATATATATATATATATATATATATAGAAAAAGTATATATATATATATATATATATATATATATATATATATATATATATATATATATATATATATATATATATAGAGAGAGAGAGAAATAATGTGTATATATATATATATATATATATATATATATATATATATATATATAAATATATATATATATATATATATATATATATATATATATAAATTATATATACCTCATTATGATAAACGAAAGTCGTTTGAAAAAGGTCCCCAGCCATTTAACAGAGCGTACGAGTTTGCTCACTCAGGTGACAACTGACACATTGTTTCGAGGAACATACGAGTTGACAAGTATTAATGCCTTAAGGAGTAATGCGTCATTCTATTCTATCCCTATCATAGATTCAATGTCTCTACGCCTCTGGGTGACAGCCTTTTGTACTAAGAAGATTCTTTTCATTAGGTTCGAAGATTGGGGAATCAGTTCCCTAGGTGCCTGACAGCGACACATTCTCGGGTAGCTAAGAACAGCAGGCGGAATAAAACAGCGTACTCTGGTTACACCTGTTTTCCTGGATATTGAAGAGGAAATAGTTACAAATAAAAGAGGTGTGGAATTTCTTGAAAATTTAGGGCTTCAGGTCACCGAAACAATACTCCAGACAAATTTTAAGCTGTGAATAGGCAACGAAATGGTATATAGATTGTATTTTTTAAATGCCACTTCAGCAAACACGTCAAAAAATAGTTATTATCCTGAATTAGGAATTTTTGTAAAGGGTTACCTAAAAAGATAAACAGAAATTAAAGGACACTCACTAAGCTCAGACGATTTTTGACAAAAAAATAAATAAAAAAATAATATTGTGATGTAGATCAATAACTGTCCTATCCTGACAATAAACATCTATTGAAAATGGTACATGAAAAGAATTGAGAAACATCAAGTGTACTGTTATAAGATTGTGTCAGATGGAACGTTTCTAAATCATTCTAGAAATTCTTTATATTATAGCTTCTGATCAGTGTGGGACTAAATTTAGACTGCCAGGAAAGAGATACAGGAACCATATTTATTTGGGTAGATCAAGCCCAAGAGAAGATGGACAGAGCGAAGTTGGTTTCCCGAGCATCTCATGATATACAACGCTCTCTGTCATGTTGTGAAAATAAAAGGGCCTCTCTTGCTCAAATGATACAAAAAATAAACGAAGGATATTTTTCTATACACCGTGTTTGCTTTGTTGTTCTTGCTCTACAGCAATCATTAAAAAGCATTGTTTAAAAATCACCTTTTATGTACTTCTTCACCCAACTTAAACGAATATATCTTTGTGGTATCTATTTAAAAGTAATACAGTTTAATCTCTTTAATCCGGTGGTCTGGCAACACACAAGGTTCAGCATTTTTTTAAGCAGCCGCCATTAGTTCGTTGAGCAGTCATGAGGACAGCGCCATACGTTGTTTACAACTTTCCACAGCAGAGTGTTTTGGTGATACAGTCTTGTTCATTTCTTATATACAACTGCATCAGGATAGTAAGTATATATTATTTTTTGGTTTTAGGATTTTTTTTAGCCTTTGTATTGCAAGAAACAATAAAAAACCTTGTCTGGAAGCATCAATGATTGTTTTATATCCTATTTTAAATTTTGATTTAAAATAGGATATAATCTTTGATAACACAGCAATATATATGTGGAATGAGCTTATATAGGGTTTTCATCTAGCATTTCTATGGATTTTTACCCGGATGTCTACTCAGTTATGTCATGCGTCAGAGGCAGATTTTTTTTTCCCGCGGTAGACCAGTTGCCATCCAAGGCATAGCTGGTTGGGGGGTGAGTAGGAGAAGAGGAGGATTCATACCTTTCCCAAGGGTATTAACATGTAATTGAATGTAATGGATTCGACTGGAATTCGAACTCCACTGTGCTTCCTTTGGTTCACTCCACTCAATAACTTTAAAATATCTTATAATCTATTTTGACTTTTCTTATAATTTTATATATAATAAATTAGAAATGAATATCAATAAATATGCAAGCAATAATAATACATCAACACAGTCGTAAGTTGACTGCATTAAAGATTATAGAGTCATTATAAACGTCATGATCATGTTGATGGCTGCATAGCATATAGGGTAACATACGGTTTTTAATTTAGAGCTGTCTTTCTCCTAAACTGGTGACCAATAACGGCTAGGGAGTCTAGTTAGCCCTGCCATAACTGGTCGAGTGGAGAGAAGAGATGTATTAATACCTTTCATGAGTATTTGCGCGAAAGTGAATGCAACGAACATGGTTGGAATTTGAACTCAGCTCGCTGATTTCTCCTTCCGAGTCGCTAACCAGTGCGCCACTTGCATTATACCATATGCAATTATATATTTATAACATTTAAAATTTAGTGTTTAAAATCTCAAAGTACTATATAAGTTAAATATTTTACTTTAAAAAAGATATTAGAAGCTGAAATTGGTATTTAGATGTTTATCATAGTCATATCTGTATCCGGAAAATTTTAACATCGTTTTAGTTTACTAATATAAGTGTGAAATAATTGACTTATATAATCTGATATTGTGCAGTTGCGAGGGAATTGGTTGTTGTGGTCAGTTTCGTATATTAGGCTCAACATCGATACTTTCGCAACAGATGGATTAGCACTTTTAAATTCGGGCAAAATTATGAGAGGTTTTTATTTAACTGCCTTCCCACAAGAACAAATAGGACACAGGGTCAATTTAATGAGGCCTCATGAGCTTATAAACATTACCCAATTCCCGCAGCCGTGAAGGCGTCATGATGAGCTGCGACCTTTCATTTTAATGCAACTGAGAGAAGTGCTGCCTAAAGTTGGGATTTCCAGAAAACAGACATCTGCATAAATTTTGTGTCTTGTCTTATCCGAAAACAAGAAAAAGGCTTAATCCTGTAGATGGAACAAAGATTACTTCAAATTCCTGTGACAAATTCATTTAGGAAGCTGACATTAATGTCGCTTCCTCTCTGTTAAGTTGATGAATTTTTTTTAAAAAAAAAAGAAAAGAAAAAGAAATACTTTCAAAATATTCCCCAATAGATATAAATGTCAATTCTGGTGTGGACAATAAACAAGAAGCTAACGTAGTGTCATCGAAATTATTCTTTCCTCTCATTAATAATTGATGAACCAATTCTATATTCATGTGCAGAAAGTGATTGTCTCCCTTCTTACAGGACGAATTTACTAACGTTCCAAAAGGGCGTTGAGTGTCATGTGGCAGCCCGTGGATAGCGATAGTCAGCTGGTGTTTAGCTCGCGACCGAAACGAATGTGATAACGAGTTACTGCTTAGACTTCGTGGCAAACAGATGAAATAGTCAACTGTGACACGGCAAACGAGTAAATACAATGCGTCCTAAATAAGAACCATAAAACCTATCACAAGGGCTAACCGTCTCCCTCCCAGGGACATTAAAAATACGACCTTCTTTATATTTATCTCTTCACATACTGCTTTCTTTTTTCATTTGTTTTCAATTCCTCTCTGATTATATATATATATATATAAACTGCATATTTTTTCCTGAAAAAGTAACCTTCTTTTCGGACAGCACACCATTAAAAGAATCGTTTGCGACTAGTAAAATTTTAACGAGAATCACGGAGTGATAGACAAACTGGGAAAAAACGTGGAACTATGATTAAAATACAATTTAATATTAAAAATGGTCGAGAAAAATAATTTCTGGAAAGTTCAATAAGATCGTATAATTACCTAATTTTTAGGGTTGAACAAAAAAATTCACTTTTTTCTTCTTGTCTCTAACTTTATGATTTTATTACTGAGTCCAGAGTAGGGGTTGTCCAGACTGAATGGGAAGTAGTTGTATTATTCCAATATTTTATTTAAAACTCAGTCAAATTGTATTAATCGTGTACGTGGGCTTTTGTCTACATTATGGTAGAAGCACATCTAACTCAATCACGCATACCATATGCAAAGTCATAAGACAATTGTGGATGAGGGACAGAGAGTCACTTCTTTAATGATAATGATAATAAAATGCCTGATAAAATTCATGAAGATAATTTGATATATTATTCTTCCTTCCCTAAGAATTGTTTCATTTTTCTCCGTCGTAAAATAAAGATAATATCGTTATATAGGACGAAATTTCATTTTATATTTACCCTTGTTTTTATCATGAAAACGCAAAAATTACTTTAATCAAAATTCGACAAGAGGAAGGGAAATTTGGGGGGTGGGGAATGTGTAGCGGAACGAACACATTTTTCTCTTTGACTATGCACTGTTTCAAAGTCAGTATGAATATTCCAAACATTTCCATAAAAGTTGGAGAGACGGACTTTTTAAATAATTAAAAAAAAATTAAAAAGCGCTAATATTTTACTTTAATCTTGTCTAAAAGCATAAATAACTTTGATTAATTTTCATTTTTTATTTGATACTTGAACAACACAACACTTTATTCATCGAAAGGAACTAAATCTTTCGCAAAAAAAATCTCTTCTTTTGATATTAGTTGTTTTTGTTTATGTAGTTGTTTAACAAGGTTCCTTTTTAGTTTTGCAGTCATCGTGATATGAAAAAAGGCGGCAAACTGAGATCTTTCGAGGTCTGATTGGTGAGCTAACAGGGTTGGTTGCCTTAGTGGAAATTATGGGCATCAACAACCCCAAAGATCACTTAGTTCCAGCCTAATACACAGGTTAATTTCTTCAGCAACATGACTACTGAAAAAAACTACATTAAGAAAGAGAGATGAAAAAACCTCAGTAGAAATGGATCTTAAAAACGTTCCAGCGGGGTGCAAGATAAATTAAAAAAAAAATTAGAGTGCAAAAGAAAATGCTAAAGAAAGAGAAAAAAGCATGGGAAACAGAAACACGTAAAGAAAAATAGAGGAAAAGGAGACCGAAGGAAGTGTAAAAAGAAAGAGAGAGACCGAAGGAAGTGTAAAAAGAAAGAGAGAGAGAGACCGAAGGAAGTGTAAAAAGAAAGAGAGAGAGAGACCGAAGGAAGTGTAAAAAGAAAGAGAGAGAGGGACCGAAGGAAGTGTAGAAAGAAAGAGAGAGACCGAAGGAAGTGTAGAAAGAGAGAGAGACAGAAGGAAGTGTAGAAAAGAGAGAGAGAGAGAGAGACAGAAGGAAGTGCAGAAAGAGAGAGAGAGAGACAGAAGGAAGTGCAGAAAGAGAGAGAGAGAGACAGAAGGAAGTGTAGAAAGAGAGAGAGAGACAGAAGGAAGTGTAGAAAGAGAGAGAGAGAAACCGAAGGAAGTGTAGAAAGAAAAGAGAGCGAAGAAAAAGGTAACAAAAAGGAAACCGAAATAAGAGTCAAAGAAACGCCAAAAAATATCCATTTGGCGGTTGATTTGAAATTTGCTCGAACGAGGCAGGATGAAAACGAAAAATCGTTTTGATAAAAATAGAACCATACTGGCAATTGTTCATTTAAGATCAACAAGAACACAGAAGAAACTTAAATAAATCCAATAAAAATAAAAGAAAAAATAGTTAATAATTATGAAATTAATAAAAGGTGTGTCACTCGAAAAGAAGTGACAAATAAAAACCCCTTATATGTCTTGATAGAAAAATAAAATAAATATCCCCTATTTTGCATTCCATAATTCTTAAAAAGTTACAAATAATCATTTGAACAAAACTTTTTAAATTTCGTAGACGTTATCCATAAGCTAAGACCGTTAACGTAAATTCAAGTTCACAATACATTTTTAATGTCATATTTTTCACAACGGAGGCGATGATCGTTTTCCACGACTTATATTTCTTGAATTGAATATCCATAACTTTTCTATGAGAAGGCAATAGAGTGGTTTCTCGTTGCCTTCTCCGTGTTTCTGAATTCAAATTTGTCCTTTTCTTGGACAGCTTGGGAACTTATTCTGCCCTAGTATTTAATCTATAATAAAAGGCTATTTTTAAAAAAAAAAAAAAAAAAAAAAAAAAAGATAGATAGATTCATGCCTTTCCTAAGTGCAATAGTATACGTAAAAGCCTGGGACGGAATTTGAAATCGGCCTGCCAGTTCCATGTTACACCGACCGAATATCCACTTACTATAGTTTCATTTATTTGCAATATAATACCAACTTATTCATATTGACGTGGGAATTCAAATGCACTCCACAATTTAAAAAATTGCCAAAGAACTGTAATTTCTATTACATTATTGAAAACTTTTTCTGTTATTCATTTTTTTTTTTTGTGAAATTTGTAAACTCTTTCGATGTTATAACAATTTTTCATATACATTATTATTATCATCTTCGTTGTTATTATCAGAACTTTTTAACCGTACGTGCCGTTTCGGCCATTCATTCTCTCCGACTTTTAATCCGTTGAGCCCTGACCACCGCTTTACCGGTGGCTGAGAAAAAAATGACGTAATGCTTAGCCACCGGTTGAACAGTGGTAGAGAAAAATGACTTAATGTCCAACCACCACGGTGGGTAAACACTTGTAACTATTTTTATATCTAGCGTGAAACATTACACACCAATTATTTGCGAATTAACTCAGGAGCTCAGGTAAAAGGGTTAAAATTAATCCATTCAAGTAATTTTCAAAGAATTTTGAACTGAATTATCCATTAAAATCTACGGCGGTGAAGGTGGGTCATATTTTCTTCGTTCCACTGACAATGTCTCGGAATAGCTTGCCTAGTTCTTATTTAGTACTGCTTAATTATTACTCTGGGTCCAAGTACACGCTGCTCATGCTAGAGAATGACTTCACAATTCGCTACCTCTTCGTCACCGAGGCCCGTTGGTATGACGTTTGCCTGATAACGTAATTGTCCGGGTTTCAATTCTCGGTAGTGGATGCGCACTGCTGATGAGTCCCAAATATAGGTCGAAACGGCCGTCCAGTGCTTTCTGCATTCTGTTGAGTTTTCTTCTATACTCGATGAATTACTTAATTATCTGAAATCCTCCTAATTTCTATCACTTGTATATCCTTGCTTGAACCGTCTTCTAATACTCTGGATGGAGCGGCTTGGTGATAGTAGTCGTAGCTCGTGGGGGCACAGTCCTATGGGTAAAAGAGAAACTCGGATGAGTTCCACCACGGAATATGTAATCGAGCGGCGCTATATCGAGTGTAATTCACAATTTCTATGTCACCAGCCAAGTACATGAACTCTTTAATCCACTAATCCTGAGCAGAGAACTTTGAGCCTGCTGATGAATGCTGTTGTTACTTGTTACTCATGAAAGAGAAGCCTCGGTGAGTGCATTCAAGCGTGACAAGCAGCAACAGGCTTCTCGGTGAGTACAGATAATGTAAATAATGACAAATTCTCTATAACTGTCTGAATTTCTGGAATGGGGAGTTATTATTTACATTATTCCTTGTCTGTTTTGTTTAACATTTACAATCATATCTGTTGATATGAATTGATGACCATTGTAGAGGGGCCGTGGCTGTTATGTTGTTGATAGAAGTCAGACGTAGAAGAACGCAAGTAAGGTTCAGATACTCCTGTCCGCCGAGCCAAACTACATAAAAAGGTTGGACTTTGATTAAGTCCAAAGAAGAAGGCAAAGAAAGCAAGCAAAACACAAGACCGATAATATATGTATATACAAATATATATTAATAACAAGTTACAATACATGGAAACAGTACAAAGGACGAAGTGTGTGAGTATATTCTGTATGTGCGTGAATGTGTGAATATTCTGTATGTGCGTGCGTATTGTGCTTAGCGTGTTTCCACGCTATCCCTTGTTAGCGCCTACATTTCGAGGTTGATAGCTGAAATCCTGAAGGAAAAAGAGAGAGATTTACCTCAAGGTGTCGGTGCACAGGCCCGAAGGAAAAAGAGATAGAGGCAAAGGGTCAGCGGCTATTTATAGCCAGGGAAGTGAGACACCTGGTGAAAGGGTTAACGGACTGAAGGAGGAGTTAACTCCGACACCATTGTCTCTTTAAATTACCTCCCGCTACACGTTCGCAGAACCAATATATAGCGGCATTGGTAATATTTACATTGGATATTGGATATAAATTTGCCAATAATTGTGGTAAAATTTAAAACTGCAATTCATTTACATTCTTATATATATATATATAAGAGGTTTTGTGTAAAACGATGCGTATAAGTTGATTTTGTGGGTGTTTCTCTTCTTGTCAGTTTTATTATTTTAAAATGTTCTAAAAATGAACATGCATTTGACCAAATAATTTCATGCATTTAATAAATAGTCACAGCTTACAGAAAAAAAGGAAGTACTAACAAGTAAGTCTTTTGATCTTTGCTTCCCTTTTTTTTGGTAAAGGGAGTCGCTTGGCATAGAGTTATGTTAGCTAGCATGTTTGGAATTGACCAGGTGAGCCAGCATGTTTGGAATTGACCAGGTGAGCCAGCATGTTTGGAATTGACTGAACAGTATATCCAGCACAAAGTTTCGTATTTATCTGTTTTTTAACAGAGACAAAGTAAAAAGGTTTTGAATTTGTTCAAGCGAACAACGATGGGTTAAAAATTCTTATTTTATACCTCGTGATCCGTTTTCTACTTCGCATATTTCTAACCTTATCTTAGATTTTATTATTTTTGACGTTTTTTTTTTTGCTGGATCCTGTCGTTTTTCTTATATATTCTTTTTTATCTTTACCTACGAGATATTTCAATAATTAAATTTTGAATATTACTAGAAACAGTCTGCATTCTTATTGTTCCAGTGTGCAGAATAGCAGTAACAATTATAAGGAATAGGTAAAAAAACAACAAAAAAAAAAAACGATACGCCAAAGGAACAGTTTTATTTCTAACAACGGTGATGATAAAAATATCCAGGTATAAAGAACGTTTGGTGTCACATGAACTTATCTAGTATTGACCATTTCTGTTGTCAAAAATCTTTGAAAACATAAGTTTAGGAAAGCAATGAAAGAATCCACGATAGAAAATTGCCATTTCGTTTCAATAAACAAGTGTAAATAAAAATAAAATAATAAACCTAGAGAAAAAGAAGATAAGAAAAAGAGAAAAAGAAAAAGAGAAAATAAGAGAGAAAAAGAAAAAAGGAAAAAAAAAAAGAGAAAAAGAAAAAGAGAAAATAAGAGAGAAAAAGAAAAAAGGAAAAGAAAGGAAAACCTAACTGATGTTGATAGCTCCAATACAAAATCCCTGGGTTAACCTCTCTCTTTTTAGAGAACTCTGATCTACAATGATTAGGCCACCTGACCCAACAAGCCACAGTTGCGCTCACAAAAATGTCTACTGTACACATTACAATAAATTTAGAAAAAAAAACAAAACAAAAAAACACACGAACTAAAAAAAAAATGCTAGTTAAATAGATGGGAAGGGAGATAATCACTTGCTACAATTTTGCAACGATCAAAGGAGTTTGTTTTGGTCAGTTGAAAAGCGGGCCAGACAGCTGTGCTTGGGAGTTTGTTAGACTGGCTAATTTCTTTTCTTTAGTGTTCTATGAATTCTGTTGAATGAGTTTAGTGACTACAACAACAGAAAAGACATAATTTCAGAAGAGAGAAAAGAACAAAATGCGAGTTGTCTATTCTGTTACCTATATGATCCTCTTTATTCTCACTGCTCAAATAGACTTATTGTAAAATATGCAGCAAGAGATACGTATGAATAAAAAATCAATTAATACTTCCTTTGTGGAAGATGAAACCTTGTTTATACTCTGGGTCTTGTAGCTTTATTCATATAATCCGTTGTCATTGAGGCCTCACTGGTGTCCCAGTCCTATTCATAACTTTCTCCTTGTCTGGCAATCTATTTTTAAGGGGGTGTTGAAAAGTTTCGAGAATTCAGCACACGGCTTGTATTTTTCTGTCTTTCTATGTATTTAGTTTTGTTTCATTTTAAAAATTGTGCTGAAAGTTTTTGCACTTGTTTTTTGTGTGTGTTCCGTGGTCAGTTTTTAAGATACACGTTAAGTTATTTTTCAAGAAATATTGAAGTCCTTTTTCTGTATAAATCAACTTATTAATCACATACAGATTTTACGCACTGTAGATTGAATTTTAATTTGAAAAAGCCGTGGCTTAAAGTGTTTCATCGCGAATTTGGTAACATAGTAATTATTAATTCAATCCCTGGGCTGGGTAGTACAGATTCACTGTTGAAAGCGGACAAGCAAAAACCGAGCAATAATAATAATAATAAATAACTAACAAGATGAGATATCCCTAAACAGGGATAGCTATCGAGTATATTCCAACAAATAAAGGGTACAGTTCGAAATTGACTGAAGGTTACTTGAATCAACAGATATCTGAAGAAGGACGTGGGGTAGAATGTCCGAAACGTTATTACAACAATAAAGATGAGGAGATTATTAGTCTGAATGTAAATAAATACGACCTCATCCCAAAAATTAAGACAGCATTTTTTTTCGAGGTATTTGTGGGTTATTCGTCGATAGTTTTTAAATTAATTTTCCATTTTTTTTTTTCACAAAAAATATACTATTTGTTTCTTAAATTATATTTTTTTCTCCAAATAAAGATTAATCGTATTTCGGGTTGCATTTAACATGGCGATAGACAACAAGATGGCGTCGAATGGGTCGACTCCATGCGTTCTCCATATGAACTCGGCCAGGTCGGTCTCAGGATGGTGTCGTGCCGTTCATCGGTGACGCTTGTTCCTCCACTTTGCTGATCCTCACAAACGTTCGATATTCTGAGTGTGGATACTGATATCTGCATCAACGGAATTGTATATCGATGATTAACCTTGAAATGTTGGAAGCCAGCCTCCTCGGGATCGGTGGTTTATAAAACATAGCAATAGATGACCCACAAGTACGTTTTTTTTTTTTAAATTTATTTTAAGCCAAATTTACTTTAAACATAGGTTGAAAATGATTACAATGACCAGTTAGAAAATTCAAATGAAGCGCCTTTCATTTGTATTTTAATTTAAGACAATACTTTTTTTTTACAATATATTAGTTAAAAAATAAACGTTTAGCAACACTTCTTTTATTATTCAGTTAATCTTGAATTTTTTACATTTGAATGAAAATAGTTAAAAAGTATTATAATTCAATGTTAATAATAAACATTACACTGAAAAAGCAGCAGATTGAAATCTTATTTCTCTACATATGTTCTTCATACGTTATACTACCCCCCCCCAAATGCCAGTATTTCGGATTTTATCTTCATGACAATAACTGTCTTTGTTCAATGAAACTGAATCTGCAAGTCTGATTTTCAGCTTCCTCTTGAGTGCCAACTTACTTTACCAATTTTCATTTATCGCACAGTCTAATTGGAACTCTGTTTGCATTCTATTTACAAATCCTTTAAAATCAATTATTGATTTTTTTTTTCACATTATTGAAGAAATATCTGACATCATATAAAATTAAATCAATCTTCTCATTAAAGAAAAAGGAGAATTTGAATTAATTTAATAGTAAATAAATCTGAATTCCAATTCACAAAATGAAAGCCCTAATGAGAAAAATCATTGAAAGATTTCATTTTAATTCTTCAAGAACACTCATTCAAATAATTACTTTTTCTTTGGCTGTTAAAGTAGGCAAATCCCAGTCAATATAACTAAACAAATTTTCAACATTCAGTTTCATATTCTGCATTTAAAGACAAGATATTAAAAGAAGAAAAAAAGATTTTTCATTGAAATGTTTTTTTTTTCTTTTCTGAAGATTAAATCACATTCCTGTTATTTCTGCTTCTTGAAATCATGCGAAAATTACGGAACAGTTGCAACTTGGACGAGATTATTTTACAAAATAAGAAAACAATGTTAAATAAAAATATAACTTCAATTCACATGATTGATGATTCTATGTCAGTGACAAAAATTGTTAAGTTCATTACGTTATTGACATAATGATTTTCTATGAAATCCTTTAGGAGCTGAGACGATTGACTTTATGACATTTATCAAGACTACCGTAATCATTGAAGTGCTTAACAAGCGGTATGCTGATACCTAAAGATTAAATTTCATGTATCACAAATCCAACAGACTGAACTATTAACGTGAGAGCTAAAGTCTGCTTTTTTTTTTCTTTTTTTAAGGAGATAACACCAACTTGGTCTGTCAAGACACCCGCTAGGTGGGGCTGTTTCAGGACAATAAAAGAACAGATATACCCCTTTCTCTTCTCTTTTGGTTTTCCCTTGGGCGAACACCTATGTTGAGAACTATCTCGATTCATTTATAACAAACGAAAATAATGTCAAATAGTTTATTATTTCCAACGATGCATTTGTTTCATACCTGAAATATAAGTAACACTGATCAAACGCTTGGGGGATACAGCTTTACGTGAAAAGAGTCTCATCTGACAAAACACTCTTGAGTAACACATTTACATCAGACCAATTGCATGAAAAATACACCATGACATACAAGGGATCTTATCTCATAAGTGCTCGGGAGACAGAACTTTTCCTGAAAGGAGTCATATCATCTGATCCAGTGCTTAGTAGAGAAAATTTTACGGGAAAGGGATCCTATCACCAGACCAAGTGCCCAAGGAAGACGCCTTTAAATGAAAGGGGCTTTACCTGATTAAACGATCTGGAAAAGAAAGAGGTTTAATCATCAGACTTTCTTGTAGGCCTTGAGATAGCTATTCGATTCGAATGCGGTAGCTTTGGATTTTTATTCTATTTAATTATATATATATATATATATATATGGTTGGATTGATGTGAGTTTGTGACCCTGGGTTTCACGCTTTTGCGATCGTCAGACAAACTGATTAATTTTTTTTAAATTTTGGGTTTATGTAGATTGCGTGTATTAGTGTTATTATGGGAGTGGGGAGAATCGTCGTCGTGATGTCATTGTGATAACGCAAACATAGATGCATGTTCATACGCCCGATGAGGTACGTAGACACACATACACACTCGGTCGTCTATATGTTAGCTCTATCTCTGATATTGAGCGCTTTTAATAATTACCGCATATAATATATAAATATTATACACACACAATATATATATATATATATATATATATATATATATATATATATATATATATATATATATCCTTTTTAAAAACATTTAAGTTCCACTTTAAAGTTTGATACTACGTCTACAGAAGAAAACGAAAAATTCGTAGAACAGCAAACTATACAAAAATAAATGCTACCTGCTACCTTCCAAATACACACGGAGAAAATACGAAACATTTGTTCCGGCCCCCAAGCAATGTTTGGCATTACAAAATATAAGCTAACAATAAATCAATAATAAAAATTAAGTAAGTACAAAATTTACAAAAAAAGAAGAAAAAAAAACCAAAACACACACATAGGTGCATTTGAAATCCGAAAGACGATGTCACTCTAAGTAAGTGAACTTCTTGTAGAACTGAGGCCACACCAGACATGAACGCTAAGAAAACTGATGAACATAACAGCCTGTCAATAAGAAACGGATTCAAGATATTTCTTTTCACCGTCACTGAAAATAAATGCATAGACAGACTAACAATCTATTTGTTTGTGTATGTAAGCACACACAAAAAAAAACAGAAAAAAAACTGTATAATAATAATAGTAGTTATATTTATAAAACGGAAACCGTATCTTTTCACCTTATTAACCTGCTGTTGAGCTGAAGGAAAAAAAAGCTTCTAAAAAGTCCTTTAAAAATTTAACTCCTAGTTCGGTGTGTGTGTGTTTTTTAGATGTCAAGTCAAACTGGATGTTTATTATTTTACTATGCTACAATCATCCTTAGATTTTTCTGTTAGTGTTTTGTTTTGCCATATCTCTGCCTAAAAACAGGGGGCGAAGAAATCGCATATGGGTGCAAGTGTTTCTCATTAATCAATGGAAACATGGTTAGCGGGGGAAAAAAATAAGAGGCAAGGGGCTATTGCTCACTAGATAAAAATGCTTTCTCTCTTTTTAAAATATTTTTCTATTAAGTTATGTCGTTAGAATCATGATTTATTTTACCAAAGTTTAAGATAAATTATCTGAAAAGATTATTATTTCCAACACGTTACATAATCTTTGGAGTGCGTAAAATTACTAAGTATCACAGTTATTCAAATTTCTTTTTGGTAGATCCTATTTTCTCATTCAAATCAAAATCTAAAATGATAAATCGTTCTTTATTTGCTGTTAGTATTTCCTAATCGGAATCGATATTAGTTCACCAATGAATTTAATAAATTAACCTGAAATATTTTAAAAGAATTAACATTATCAAAATCATAATTTAACAACAAATTATTCGACATTGTCTTTTAAACATAAAATCTTTTGTACTAATCTGAAAGATTCGTTTTCCAATCTATTTGGACCTTCGTGAAGGTCTATCTCCTTATTTTACTAACTTGATAGAAAAACATGTTTGGTGAGGACATATGTTATTTGTGAAAAACAGATATGATGCGAATGTTAGGAAAAAGATTCTTTTCCTTTTGAAAAGAGTGTGCAATGTGGAGGAGCAAAAAATAAAAGAAGCTCAGGAATGAAAAGAAACATCTTGGTCAGGTTGGTAATAGAGAACTATGATCAGGAGAGCTTATAATGAAAATAAGGTGTGTGTGTGTGTGTGTGTGTGTGTGTGTGTGTGTGTACGTAAGTGAGAGAAAAAATGTGTGTAAGGTGAGAGTTAGTTGGGTAAGAAAGGGCTGGCGTGGAGGGAAACTAACAAGGGTTAAATGAGAAAGGGTTTTTAATTCGTGAGAAAATCAAGGAAGCAAAACTCATTGGAAAAAGAGACGGAAATAGCTAAGTAGGTAGGTAGAAAGATGCATTGACAAAGAGAAGGAGAGAGACAAGTGGGGAAAAGACGCGCTGAGACCCAGAGAGGAAATGACGCGTTTAGAGAGAGAGAGAGATGGAAAATAACGCGTTGAGAGAGAGAGAGAGAGCTGGAAAATAACGCATTTAGAGAGAGAGAGAGAGAGGGAATGACGCGTTCAGAGAGAAAGAAAGAGAGCTGGAAAATGACGTGTTCAGAGAGAGAGAGAGTGAGTGAGCAGGAAAATAACTCAGAGAGAGAGAGAGAGAGAGAGAGAGAGAGCTGGAAAATAACTCATTCAGAGAGAGAGAAAGGAAATGACGCGTTCAGAGAGAGAGAGAAAGAGTGGGGGGAAATGACGCGTTCAGAGAGAGAGTGAGAGGAAATGACACGTTCAGAGAGAGAGAGAGTGTGGGGGGGGGAAATGACGCGTTCAGAGAAAGCAAGAAATATACGTTCAGTGAAAGAGAAAGAGGAACAGAAATGCGTTTAGGTAAAAGATACATTCAGAACGGTACAGAAACTGACAAAGCCGCATAAAGAGAAAAATATAATATATAGAGAGAAAGATGTGTTGAGAGAGAGAGAGAGAGAGAGAGGGGAACAGTGGAAGTACAGAGATGAGAGGAGTAGTGGGGGAAGCTAATTTATTCACTCAAATTTCTTTCCTATGTACACATTTAAGCTCAAGATGTGTGATTTTGCGGAAGCAGGTGTGTTTTAATCGTAAGATGTGCAGATAATTGAACCTATGTGAGATTTAATTGCTAAATACCAGAGCCATTAAAATAATGAAATAGGAATTACAAAGAAAATCTAATTATCAGATCATAAATAATCAACTTAACGAATTGTCATCTAACTGATTTATTAAAACTTATATTCTACTTCTTCAGCTGTTAGCACCGGATGCTGCTGCTGCTGCTAATAGATAGAAATAATTGAATCAGACTTTTCAGCAGTTGAATAAAAATTCCAACACTTTACCAGCTTACTCAATCTTGTAAAACTTCTGCAATAATAGCAGAATATGGAAGTTTATAAACAGTCACAATCAAGATTATTTCTATATTACTACAATACATTATAGAAATTGTACAATCATTGTTTTAAAAAGACAAAATTAAACAAAAAATACAAAAATTGGAAACTTATTTTATTAAGTAAAATAAGTTCCCAATTTTTGTATTTTACTATTATTACCCCATCCCACCCTCTAATATAGGATGAAATTTTAAGTTAAGTTTCGGCTTACGGCCATATCACGTTGGCGATCACCTAAGTTAAGCAATGTCGAGCCTGGTTAGTACCTACATGGGTGACCACGTGGTAATACCAGGTGTAGTAAGCTTAAGGAATTAGAATATATATATATATATATATATATATATATATATATATTTGTTCCTGTTTGAGAGCGGCCAACGGCGGTTGCGGCTGCGACAGGTGATACTAATGTAGCGGGCCGTGGGGTTTACGTGTTGTCAAATTAGGAACCTGTGCATTTATTCCTGCTAGAAGGTCCACTACAAGAACATGGCGGAGATTGAATCCACCATAAAGAAGTGTAAAGAAAACCAACAAGACCGATATATCGATACAAACAAGTATATGTATCAAACAACAAAAATCACAATGGACATAGACATTAGCATTTGTGTTTGTGTGTGAACGTAAAGAGTTTGTATTTTGGTGAATGTTCGTACGTGTGTGTATGTGTTTCATAGCGTTTTCCCACAAGTGGGCAAAAACGCAGATCTCTACGAGAGATCACATTTTTAAATGGGTCCTCTGAAATGCAAAGTAAAAAGAAAATGAGGCAAGAAATCGCCCAGTATTTCTAGTGTAGGACGAGCGTGCCCGAGTGAACAGTTAGGAAATTAAGGAGGAGTTAACTCCGACAATAACAACAAAAATGAGACTATATGAAAATAACGTAAATTCTGATGTTGAAATATACATGTGAAGAAATAAATATATATGCACATATAATAATACACCCACACCCAGTTGATGGTTTCTTGAAGCAGGGTGAAAAAAACGTAGATACTTTTAAGTTTTAGTTAAATCTGTACCATTGCAAAATGTTACAAAGGAAAGCTCAACAAAGAAGCTATATTTTGTTGGCGGGTGATAAAGCCAAGCAAAATTTTAAGAAAGGGAAAAAATTCGTTAGAAACAGGAAAGAGCTATGAACTGTTATTTCAGTCCTCCAATATAACCATGAATGCTGGACTATTCACAAATGAAGTGATTTGGGGGATGGACTGAACATCAACAACAAAGTTTTAAAGAAAAGGGAAACAAAAAGAACACTTATTCTTAACATCAGGAAGATACAGCTGAAAATTCTAAGGTACATAATGAGGAAAGTGGGCTTGGAAAATTTGATACTCACAGGACAGACTGAAATTAAGAGGGACAGAGTAAAACCACTTAGCGAGCATGAGCAAATTTACGAGACTAAGAGAAATAACAAAAAGACAAAATTAATTAAGAAGGGTTACAAAGGACGGGAAATTCCGGAGAGCTATGAACACCAACGTCCCGAAGGGACACGTCACATCGAAGAAGATATTTTAACTTTTAAATGATAACGCAAGGAGGATGGATTTGAAAGAAATGGAAAATTAATGTAGTAATGCAACTAAGCAAGAAAAAATATTCTTCACTCATACAAATTCCTTCAGTATAGGGGTGGTGATAGAAAGAGGTATGAAGGACTGGTGATAAAGGGTGGGGCACATGAGCAGTCCTGGGAGTTTCACTGGTAATTTGTTTCTAGAAACAGCCCCACCGCTCTCCAAATGCTATCTTTTTTCTTTTTAATTATCTTTGCCAGAAGAGAGAGACGGGAAGGGGGAAACGAACTTTCTCCTCTTCCCCTAAAAATCATAAAATATACGTTAAAAATAAAAAAGAAAAGTAAGTATGAACTAAATAACAAAAAAAAAAAAAAGAAAAGCTTTCTCGTTTTGTTACTTGTTACTTATGCCTTGCAACATTTTTGGCAAATTTTGGGAATGACACTTTGATCCGTGATCATTAAAATAAAAATGAAGAAAATGGCACCCCCCCAAAAAAAAACCGTAAAAATAAACATACATAAATATAAATAAAGCAAATATAATTAATTAAATAAACAGGGGAATAATATTGAGAAGGGGGGAAAAAGAGAATGGAGCGTGTCTGTAAAGAAACACATGTTGCGTTCACTGTAAAAAATGAAATCTGTAAAATTTTGCTTCCAGTAGAAAAGGTAGAAAGCAAAATAACAATTTTTCCTTAATTCTCTCCATTAAAACAAATTTCCATGGAATGGAAATATATGGTTTTCTTTCCCTGGTCGTTTTTCTACCGACAATCTGTTTCACTTTTCAGAACATGTCCTTATTTTTTCTTTTTCTTTAAATTATCTCTCCTTTTCCTTTCATTTTGCATTTTTTCATTTAAAAAAAAAAAAAAAAAAAAAAAAATTCTCCCTCTTTTATTAACGATTTTTCTACTTTCTCTCTCCCGCCTATTATGTTTCTGTTACCTTTTTTTTCTTTTAACACTCTTGCTTTCCTTCCTTTTCAACATTCTTTCTTTTCTTTGGTTTTCTTTGTCGAGTTCCTTCTGTATCTTCCATCAAATTAAATCCTTTAGTTTTTAAACTCTTACTCCCTTTCTTTCTTTTTATGTTCTCTCCTTTTCGTTACTATGAAAAAAGGAGAAAGAGAAATAGGCAATAGAAGAAGATTACTCTTTCTTTACTCTTTCTTTTTCATCTTTTACAAGGACATTTTTCTTTTTTTTTTTTTTACTTTTTTTTAAATCTGTTAACATTTTCTTTTCTGCTAATGAATACTCTTCGCATTTATTTATTTTATTCTTTTCTTTTTTTATTAACTTTCATTTGGAGACTGTGTCTTAGTCTCTTTTTTTCTTATTATTTAAATCAATATTAAGCTTTGTTTTTCTTATCAAAACTATTTTTTGACATCGCAAATTAATGCGAGCGAGAGAAAGTAAAAAGACTTTCTCACTTCTTCATTTTACATGTGTCCTGATCAAGTCATTTTCAAATCCCAAATTTGCATTTAATAAAACTTCATTAACTCACGAAGCAAACAAATTAGAATTTTTACATTTTATTTATTTTCCTAATTTGCTTTTCAGATTCTATTAAATTTTAAGTGAAAAGGAGAGAAGCAACAATAAATCATACACAATTTATTGTAAATCAAGAAAAACGCGATAAAAATTATGTGTTTATTTATTTTTAAAAATATTTTACTCCTTGTTAGTTTATCCTATTTAATAAGAGAATCTGTCTGGATTCGTATGATGTTTCCCATAACTATCAATAAAAGTGAAATCGTTTCAAAACTGATAATTATTTTAAATGTATTTTTAAGCCATCTAAAAGTGTTATTGTGAATAACAAAACAAAAGGAAAGTAAAGTTGCAATAATAAATGAATAATTTATTTCTACTTTTAGGTTTTAATTTTTTTGTTTTTGTTTTCTTTTTACATTTTTTTTTCTTTATTTTTATCAAGTGATAATGAGGAAAGAAGGCGTGGAGAATTTAACACTCACAGGATATATTGAAGGCAAGCGGTGAAGATGGAAAAATTGAGTAACATACCTAACAAGCCTGTGAAAATGTAAAGCAGAACAGAGATTTGGTGGGATAGTAAGGGGACAAATATTGCTTAAAATGGAGAGCTACAAAAGGATAGGAAGTTGTGGAGAGCCATAGTCAGCCTTCTTGATGAACTTGTAAAAATGGATGGCAGAACAGAGATTTGGTGGGATAGTAAGGGGACAAATATTGCTTAGAGCTACAAAGGATAGGAAGTTGTGGAGAGCCATAGTCAGCCTTCTTGATGAATTTGTAAAAATGGATGGCAGAACAGAGATTTGGTGGGATAGTAAGGGGACAAATATTGCTTAGAGCTACAAAGGATAGGAAGTTGTGAAGAGCCATAATCAACCACATGCTGAAAGGACATGGCATATAAAAAGAAGATGGATGATGATAATAATAATAATCTACTAATGTCCTATAGCTGTCTCGCTTCCTTCCAACATATCTATTACCATCAGCATTTTTCATAATTAAATTGAGCCAATGGTGTGTTGGTAATAGAGTAAAAGGTTTTGGAAGTTGAAAATTGAATAGATGTCAGTCACAGACTTCATGGAACCTGTTAATAACATTGTGATAGAAATAAGGTTCAGAGGAATCAGGACAAATTAGCAGAAACCTTAAGAATTGTGGGAAAAAAAAGTGAAAATAAAAAATCTGAAAACATCGTTGTTAAGAAGTTTGGACATTAAGTGTGCAGATTGAAAATGGGATTGGGGGGAAAAAAATAGGGGTTTTATGAAATAAAAGGGTTTCCTCACGTCTTACCTATCAAATTCAATTATGAAATCTACATTGTAGATGTTTATATTCTCTCGTTCTCTCTCAAGCAAAGCATCATTAGTATCACATATTTATTCAAACACTGATG